AACTTTGACCACTGTTAGTCTCGAAACTCTACTTACATACGAAAAATAAGAAACATAATTAATGCAAAAATGTGCTTTCTTCATCGGCAATCCCACCAAAGAATGTGACATAGGAAAACGCCTGGCCTTCCTCGAAATTCACATCCGCCCTGTGACCCAAGGGCACTCGTGGCGATGAGGCGGATTGGTTAACATGTCGAGCCCACATGCTGCACTGTCACGGTTCGACGCCCGCTGAGGGTGTTGATAAGATCAAGACGAGGCGAGGTCAAGACTGCAGTCGTCTGGTGTTTGGAGGAGAAAAACTTTTGGGAATGACAAGAATGTGTGAAATTGAATGGACACGTCAGCTCAATTCATATGATTGTGGGAAAATTCTTCTTCTACCAGTCCTTCATCACCTTAAAGGAAATCGGGTGAATACATCTCATACTTCTCATTTACTGGTAGTCACGAAAACAATATTTAAATGCGAATATACCAAAAATAAATTCTTATAAAGGTAGCTAGATATAGGATGATTTTGATAGTTAGTTCTTATGGTAATTATAGTATATTTTTCGCATTTAAGTGTTGTTTTGAGACTACTAGTAAGTCAGTAAGTAGTATGAGATGTAGAAACTGTAGTCCACTCCTGCCTAAATGATAACAACTTTTGGGAAAGACAAGAATGTGTGAAATTGAGTCGACACGTCATCTCAACTTGTATGATTGTGGGTAATTATTCTACCAGTCTTTCATCACCTTAAACGAAATTGTGTGAATACATCTCATACTACTGATTTACTGGTAATCTCGATACAATACTTAAATGCGAGTATAAGACAACTAAATTCTTATAAAGGTAGCTAGATATAGGATGATTTTGATAGTTAGATGTCAGGGTAATCTTAGTATATTTTTCGCATTTAATTATTGTTTCGAGAGTACCAGTAAATCAGTAAGTAGTATGAGATGTAGAAATTTCATATGATAACAACTGTTTGGAAAGCAAGGCAATGTGAAATTGAATGGAAACGTCAGTTTAACTCATATGTTTGTGGAAAAATTCTTCTTCTACTAGTCCTTTATCACCTTAAACGAAATTGGGTGAATAGATCTCATACTACTGATTAACTGGTAGTCTCGAAAGAATACTTAAATGTGAAAAATAAAGTTAAAAGGCTCTTTGAAAATCCACTTGTTTCCTGGAATCCTTTTGACTATTTTGTGGAACTGGTAATCCTCTTCACCGTCGCCCTGACGCCACGACCCAATTGCGATGACGAAGTCAACCCACTTCTACAAATCGAAAGGAGACTGCCACACTACCAGAAGCCACAACATCTCATGGTTTATAATTGTTGTCATCTGTTGAGGCATGAGTCTGATTGTTGAGTGAGAAGTTGGTTGGATGCAATTCGTGAATTGGTACCAACTGGAAACTGCAGAAGAATGCCTATTTTCTGTCATTTTATTCGATCTTCGAGCCTGTCAGTTGGTCCGACGTCAGATTTGGGTTTAGCCTGTTTCGTTTATGATGCTGAGCCGAAATGAGCAGTAAAAATGTACGTCTGTCAGACGAAAGGAGTGCTTCATTGGACCACCGACTCTGTCGACGCTCGCCTCGAGGACGGTGGTTGTGGAAGGCTCCGTCTTGCCTAAACCCCCTCAATGCACGTGACCGAGCCAACCGGGAGCCGGACACGAACTCGAACTTGCACCCGTTGGTTGTCAGTCTGGTCGGCTGTGTGAGTGGACTGTGTGACTGGCGTCGGCTCTCTGCTGCCGAGCCGCGAAAGAGGGTACAGCTGGCTTGTGTGACTGCAGCTGAGCATGGGAAAGTTGCACGGCCGACCGTTTGTCTCAGTGACCCTCGCGCAAACCGGCTTCGTCTGCAAAAATGGCGCTCAGATTAGCCGCTTCTGCGACCCGGTAACCCCGGTTCACCTCGCTTGACCGCCCACAAATGTGCCCCAAATCCCCCCCCCTACACACACACACACCCTTTCCGTGTACCCTACTTCGTCGTCATGACGCCTCGACGACAACGGCTTCGCTTGTTCACACGCCGGAGGGTCGGCTGGTCGGCTGGTCGGCTGGTCGACCGGAGTGAGGCAAACCGCCGTCAGTTGGCGATTCCGACGACAGACTGTCACGTTTGTATGTGCACACTAGCAGACAAGAGTATTCATGTCGTCTTGTTGCCGGGGCGAGGGGAGGGGGGTAGGTGTGGTTTGTTGAGAAAGTATGAGCAATCGGTTGGCCAGCAGACACGATTTGAGAAGATGTAAGTCTGCAGAGGCAATGGCCATTTCGTCTGGTTCCCTTCGACAGACAACTCGGCCAACCAACACCCTTTCTTCATGCATCCATGCCCTCGATACGCTATTCTCCCACTCTCGGCATACCACAACTTGTCACTTGTGCACATTTCACTCGTCAAAAGGTGTGCCCTTTTGGCTAAGTTTGGTACCCCTGCCTGCCGATTTGTCGATCCAACTACAACCTTGTATGCGCATCTTCCGCATGGGCACGTGGATCTGAGTCTTTTCTTTCTGCTTGACCGATTTCACTCGGTTCCAGTGGCTGGTTGCGTTTTAGTTCAGGCGCTCTTGCTCAAGTCTTTCAAGGCGCCATCATTTTCACCTGGCACCAGCACAACCGAGCACCACACAGTCCACACCACGCACACCATCACATCGACACATCGCCAGGCATGCATACATTAACATATACGAAGCAAAGTGGGTTTCGAGGCAGCTCTTGTTTCATAATTGTTGAGCTTATTTTCATTTCGAGTGAAAATGTTGCGTGGAGAGATTCGAAACTCGCTTACACCAGAAGACGACGGCGGATCTTCTTCGATTCCTGTGAAAAGGTGCTAAGGTGCCTCACGTGACGAACATCATCAGAGCAAGGAGGGTATCATCGTGACAACCAAATTGAAGCTAGATAGTCAAGGAGACTCACTTTCATCCT